TTTCCTTCCAACTGATCAGGGATTGCTGTTATCATATTTTCCTACTGATTGTCATGCATCCCTATGGCTCAGCGGTTTCCCTGGACTCCATCTTCCAGAATCCTCTGGGAGATCACATGACTCCTGAGTACTGATCTATTACACCTGTGACCTCTCACCAGCTTCAGTATAAACCTGGGCTTTTAGAACAGTTCAGTGCAAAGTATTGCTTCTTTCTAAAGCTACTGAACTTTTATTTCCTGTGTTGTGTTTTCCCCCTTTTTGACTATTCATCTGTATTTTGACTCACTCGTTTTTGCCTCAACCCTTTTGGATTGTTTTTGTCTGCCCTTGGGTCTGCGATTTGTAACTCCTAGAAATCAAATCCATATGCCTTCCACTTAGTTTCTCTCTTCTGTAATACACCCTACTAGTCAGTCATGTCCTCTCGTGTCCAGTCAAAGTCAAAAACCCCTCTTCCTCGTCTAAAATAGTCCTCTGAGCTGTCACAGATTAATCTGCATCATGCTCTTCCCCCTTCTGTTCTCTAGCTTCCAAAATCTCCTTACTACTATTCACACTAAGCTCTATTTTTAGCTTAGGTTTCTGAGTTGTATTTACTCCTTCTTTAAAGTTCAAAGATGTCATACCAGGTGTCTGTATCACCTTTTCTTCTGGCTCTCTTGACCCTTCAACATCTCCTCTCTTCTCTACCTTCCTCTGTAATCTTTCTCCTAACTTCTCCCTTGCAACATGAGCTGACCCCTGTGCCTCCTCAATCATCAGACCTCCCTCTGTGTCAGCACTGGCCTGCTGCTTCCTCTCTCTCTCTCTCTCTCTCTCCACATGCACTTTTCTCTCTTTTTCTCTCTCCTTGTCTCTCTCTCCTTCTCTCCTCATTCTCTTTTTATCCCTCTTTCTGTTATTCTTCTCTTTCCTTGTTTCTTCTTCTCTCTATCTTTATTTATTTATTTTTTTTTCCTCCCTCTTTCTCTTCCCCAATTCTCACACACCCCATAGGTGGATAAAGGAAGAAACCTATCAGAATTAAATATCAAATAAACTCACTAGGTATTTTTTAACCCCACAAAAGCCAATCTAATATGATTCACCCCTTTATCTGCCAACACTTAGGTCATTTTTATCTACACCAAATGTTCTCCTCCTTTGCATACCCAGTTATCATCAATATAGACATTTCTGTTTATTTTACTCTAATAACACCTCACATACTTATTCAATTTTCCTTTACCCACACACACAAACATCCTCACTGGTCTCTCCACTCCTCTCCAAAATTATAAACGTCCTTCTTGGGAGCTCATGAATGCTTTTAAATTAATTTATAAAAGTCCTCTTATTCTTCATGAGGCTCATAAATCCTTATAAAAACTTTATCTTAAATCTAAAAATGTTCCCCAGGAAAGTTCATGATATTTTAACCATCTAAAAACCGTCCTCTTTAGAGGCTCATATGTTTTTTTTTAAATTATCATTTATATAGTCTTAAAGCCATTTACGCAGCTGAAGCACAGCCAAGTCAAGCAACTCACACTCACAGAACCCCAGGTCCGCACACACACTAAGGGGTGGCCACTCCCCTCACACAGAAACACACAGCGCGCTCAGAACACACAGAAGACAAAGAACAACACTCAATCTGAAAGTCGACTCATTCATACTGATCCTATAGCATGCTTTTTCCTGCCGCTCCTTCTTTCCCTTTTTCTTCTAAATTTTTGCTACCTTTATGAGGTGTGAATATTCAATAAAAAGCTGCTTCAGACACTGTTCGTCAACTAGTGTTCGAGTGGGAACTTTATAATTGAACTTTCCTTCCACACCTCCAGTTCCTTTGAACTGACCCAGAAATTCACCTAGTGATTTTCCCGGATTTTAGGCCCATCTAAAACCGCCTCCCAGAGGGCTTTGGTCCTAATCTGCGGCTCCTTTTCTCTTTTAACTCATATCATCTCTATTCTCTTCCCTTTTCTTATTTCTCTTTTCACTCATATCATCACTATGCTCTTTAACTTCTTTTATTCTCTTTAACTCTCATCCTTTTCTATTCTTTTTAACTCTTCACTTTTCTTCTCTATTTTCTTTAACTTCTTTTTTTCCAGTAAACTATTTTCCCCTTAATCCAATTTCCCAGGGCCCTGGACTGTTACTTTTCACTTTTCACTATTATACTCCCCCCTTTTATTGCGATGTGCACAACGCTATAAACCCCCCAAATTTAGAACGGAGAAGCACTCCAAACATCCACACAGCATCGCTCACACACACCCGAGTCTTTACGGTGCAGCTAGACAGCAACCACTCAACAGCCTCCACGAAAAAACCAGCGCTCACCTGAATCGCCGGCCTGGAGCGGGAGTTAGTGCGCTGAGGCTGTCGGCGACACAGGCAGCCACAACACGATCCCATCCTCTTCACCAAATAATGTTGTTTATTTAGTGGCAATGGTGTTTAGATGTTGTGAAGAAAAACTCCACTGATACTGAGTTGCTAGCAAAAGATTTATTACATAGTAAAACAGCATCATATCAAGCACTATAAAGCACCTGAGAGAGGATCCGTGCCAATTCTAAATGTCCTCCCCCGAACAGACTGACCAACAGCATATATATATGGTTCTTGTTGTTGAAACAGGAGACAGAACATATGGTTCTTTTTAAAATGATCTCATCTATTTGGACCTAAGAGAAGGGAGAAAGTAAGAGGCCCTCTCCCAATAGACCTTTAAATTAAGGGGCTTTAAACCCAGAGGCCCCCCTGGTTCACATTCCTATCCCCTGCACAAACAGAGCACACAGGGAACTCCTAGATACTTGGAACTTCAGACATCAGCTTATACTCAACGTTAAGAGTGTTGTTGCCTTCTTTTATAAAACTACTTTTCCAAATACACTTCAGGATGAAGAAGAAAGCCTCTGCTGTGAAGGACCCTGTCAAGAACAAACTCAAGTGCCTAGACTTAGCCAGATGTTACTGCAACATTCAGTGGGAGCGTGTTCCATGGTCAGATGAGAGCAAAGCAGAGATTTTTTAAATGAAAAGACCCACCAGAGCTGGGTTTGGTTTCTGCCATGCAGAAAAGTACCTCATCCCCACTGTGAGGTATGGTGGTGGATCTGTGATGATGTGGGGCTATTTTTTCCTTCAAAGACCCTGGACAACTTTTGCAGATACACAGAATCATGGACTCCATCAAGTAACAAAGGATATTAGATCAAAACCCGACTGCCTCAGCCAGAAAGCTTAAACTGTGCTGTGGTTGGATCTTTCCCTCTAAATCACCTCAAAATCAGCACAAAAATGGTCCACTGATCACAGAATCAAGGTTTGGCCATGGCCACTCCAGTTCCCTGACCTAAACCACATAGAAATGAGCTAAAGAGGAGCATCCACAAGCGTAGGCCTTGGAATCTCAGATCATTTGTCATGTGTTCTCCAGTCTCATTAAGTATTACAGGAGAAGACTCAGAGCTGTTAAAACAGAGGCTGCACAAAGTATTAAAACAAGGGGTGCCAACAATTGTGGCACACATACATTTCAGAAAAATATTTATATCATATTAAGAAAAAAAATTAAACAAACATAGCTTGATAATTGTGTATGTATACAGTCGTATGTGAAAGTTTTAATACCCCTGGTCAAATTACAGCTTTCTTTAGTTTTCTAAGTGAAAATAATGCAACACGTTTCTGCAGGTTAGTTTGTTCTCTGTAGTGGACGTATCAACTTATTTTCACTTAGAAATCAACAAAACATCATTTGACCAGAAGTGTCCAATCTTTTGCGTATAACTGTGTTATTATCATTAATGAGTCTTTTCTTTCTTTTGGTTGTTAGCAAGCATCTGGGTGAGGACCACTTCAGAGCCAGTGTGTTGCTGCCAGAGCTGCTTTTTAAAAACTATTTTTAACTCTTAAGCAAGTGATTTGCAGCAAATAGTTAACGGCTCACTTCTGTCAGACATTTTCCCAGAGTCACTAAAAACAGCAGCCATTAGGTCACTCTTAAAAAAGAGAACTCTGGATGCTTCTGTATTAACCAACTACAGACCTGCCTTATTTTGACAAACTTCAGTCAGGTTTTCTACCTCACCACAATACTGAAACTGCCCTTATACAAGTGTTAAATGATATATGGCTGAATACTGACTCAGGTAAAATATTAGTACTGAAATTATTATATCTTAGTGCTGCATTTGACACTGTAGATCATAGAGGACTTCTACACAGGTTGGAAAATGGGTAGGACTTTCTGGAGCAGTCTTTATTCGGTCCAGGTCTTATTTAGAAGAGTTACTTCATCACTACTGGCAGCTGTGAATCGGACAGGGTGGCTATGACATTCTGAGTTCCTCATCGACCTGTTCGCAAACCTCTTTTGTTCAGTCTCTATATGCTCCCTTTGGGCCAAATCCTACTGAATAACAACACTGATTACCATAGTTATGTAGATGATACACAGATATACCTGGCTGTCTCACCAGCTGATAAAGCCCAACAGACCAAGTCAAATAAATAATTGGATGAGAAATTTTCTTCAATTAAACAAGGACAAAACAGAAGTTATGTGTTCGGCAACAAAGAGAAGAGACTTCATTAGTGAATACCTCAATTACTGGGCTCTAAAAAACGCAAAATCGTAACGTTCTAGACTCGGACCTCACCTTCACTAGTCATATTGAAGCAATCACTAAAACTGTCTATCATCTAAAAAAATACACATTTAGAAGTCCCATTTTTTAATAATGCCTTGAACTCCAGTTTTGTTTATTTACTTATTTATTTTTTCCCCACTTATTTTTGTCTAAACTGGAAAATTAATAGCTTGTACTTACTGGAAATTTTGACGGGAAATGAAATAAATTAAGGGTGTCTCAGACTTTTGCAGAGTGCTGTATCAGCAATATTTACCATGAATACAGGGGAAGGTTACATCCTCTTTGTAGTTTCGATGCTTTAAATAAACGTTCCTGTGTGACTTCCTCAATCTGTGGCATAAATGGAATACTGCCTCACAAAGAGAGTCACTTTGAGCTGGAGGGTCATAGATTTAAACCATTCAACCCAGACAGTTTAAACTACATCCTTTAAAGCTAAAGTACCCTTCATTATAAGATCAGGATTACTAGAGAGAGCAGAATGGAGATGTGTGAAGACGATTATGTAAATGCAGAGGTCCTGAAGAATCATATGACCAGAGTCAACCAGGAACCCAAGACCTCAGGTGCAGTATGTTTACATATATAAGTGCTTGCAGAAACATATACACGCACCAAAGCGACAAAATATACATATTTGCTCATGTATTCTGCATCATTAAAACATATGCAAAGTTCAAACTGTGATGCTATTTTAACAAATTTATTTATTCTATTTCATCACATCACATACATTACATTACATTACATTACTTGTTTTGGATGTCTACAGTAGTTTGGAAAAGAACATTTTGGGTAATGCTTTACAGTAACTACATGCACATGAAGTATTCATGGCATATTTGTAAGCTGTACAGCATCACTCCATCACAATTACACATCACAAGGGGTGGGGGAAAAAATAAATTCTTAGATGTATCGCGATGCGGACGTGGACGATTCTGAATCGATTCACAAAAGTCAAAAATCGATGTTCTAAATATTTAATTTATAACGTAATGTTGACGGAACGCAAAGGGCGGAACTTGGAAGTGGGAAAGTGCAGCGCCCGGACAGTCTGTGGCGGCACATAACAAAAACACTACTGGACGAGAGAGAAATCCGACCGGCTCCCTCTGCATTAAAGCCAGGTTAGATCAGGAGTCACAACACAAATGATAAGAAGAGCCAATATTGTCCTTTCAACAAAAATCAAACCACCTTGGGGGCCGCAACATGTAATGTTCAGTATGAGATAATGTCCTAGTTTAGGCTAAACAATATAAATGAGAGCACAGATTTACTCTGCTCTGTTTTAAGCTTTAGCTATAGCCGCTTTCCTCCCATCTCCGCCAGAAAACTTTTCCTCAAAAGTTCAATAGTTTCTTGTGAAATGTCTCTCGTTGTTCGGCTGTTTTACGAGGCTGAAGTCGCTTTTCACTCACCAGCTTCTTGATGAACTTGCCCGTTCAGACTGAGGCGCCGAATGTAAATGCGGCACCATTCAAGGTGGAACGGGAAAATTAGAAAGAGAAGTGAGTTCATCTTCGCAACATTTTAGTGTTTGACAGTCTCTCGTCGCAGATTTAACGTACCAGGAAACCAACTGCGCTGCTTATAAATGCGAATAAGTCCATTCATCTCCAAATGTTCGTCTTTCTTTCTCTTTTCCTTTTTCGTTCGCTACTAGCTCGGCGAAACCTCGTTGCTACGTGAGAAACGCCAGTTCTCAGTCGTGGCGAAACAGGGCTTTCGCGCTCCCCCCCTCTATCACGAGACCAAAACCGAAGTTATAAAATCACTGAATTAAACTGGTAGGACGGCTGTAACACGCTGCGTGGTCATCCATCACCACTGGATCTTATTTCACTGTAACAGCGCATTTTATCACAGATGAGTGGCAGCAGCGTCTCCAAACAAGAGCAGTGAATGAGAGCCTTCTAGTTCACTTGCCACATCACTTCCATTTGATTTCTTAATAAAAGATATTGGACATAAATGCATTATGGGTCATTACAAATACTTTGTTTTAAAACTACCAAGTCCTCAGACCGTAGGAAAATAGAAATCATGTATAGAAAAAAAAAGATGCATCGAGATGCATTGATAATCGTTTTATAATCGCATCGCAGCCCTCTAAATCGTAATCGAATCGAATCATGAGGTGCCTAAAGATTCCCACCCCTAACAATTCACATCATTTTAACACCTTCATTAAATAAAACTTGAGAATGTTAAAAAAGCATTTATAAAATTCATACACATTCATACATTTATACACAAAAATAACAATGACATTTTAAATTCATATATGGACCATTCTACCATATTAATTCAAACTGTAGTCCCACAGTAAAAAAAAAATAATTTGAAAAAAAAACAGGTTTGTGTTCAAAGCTTAGATATTTACAAGGATTATGTTATCATCTTTTCAAACCTCAGGCTTTCATTCAGACGTAAACTAAACTAACCAAAAATAAACAAAAGAATTATAATATTGTATTTTCTGTTGTCTGGCAGTATATTTCAGACCTTTTTTAAATGCTAATTAAATTGTGTATTTGCTACTGCATTTGGATCCTCACAATCAAACACCAGCTATATAGCTGCAAGTTGTTTGGGGGGGGGGAGTTTACCAGTAGAAAGCTAAGGTCAAGGACCAACAAACTCAAACCCCTGCAGTTTGACACACATTACAGGAACTTTCAGTGGGACTGTGTTTTACGGTCAGATGGGACCAAAATAGAATTTTTGCAACGAACACCAGAAGTGAGTTTGGCATGGACACAAAGACAGCCAGGCTCAGAGTGGAAGCTTAAATTGGGCCATAGTTTGGATCTTCCAGCAGGACAATAATCGAAAATTCAAATGCAAAACATGTACTTGTGATGCAACCAGACGAATCAGACGCTTGCAGTAAAAATCAAAAAGAGAGGCTTTATTGTCAAAGGCTTGGGCGAAACCCGTGGTCGTGAAACAGGCAGAGGTCAAATCCAAAAAAAATCCAAAGACAGAAAAGAAAAATCATAACAAACAGGCAACCAAATCCAAAGGGGCAGAGACAAGAAGACAAAGTCGAAAAATTCCAGGCAGACAAATCAGTAACAAGAAGATAATCAGAAAAACGCTCAGTAGCTCTTACTCGAAAGAAGCCATACCTTGCAAAGTAACTAGTCTAAAAGCCCTGGGCTTTATACTAAATCTAACTAGACACATGACAGAACAGGTGTACAACATTAGTATTCAGGAGAATGAGATCAATGATTGGAGTGCTGAGAAGAGTCATCGGTCATGTGATCCCCCAGAGGGTTCTGGGAGATTGAGTTCGTGGGCATCTCAGAGCCAGAGGGATGCGTGACAGTAGTTATCTTTGTGCAAAAAAAAAAGTTATTGTTAAATGGAAACACACGCATTACAGTGAACACTCTTTCTACCAGTGTTAAGATGATTTTAAAAACACCATGATTTTAGAAAACTCTGACAGTCCTGTGAGTGTCTGCCCAAAACTGGTCACAATGTCACTAATGCTGACAGCCACAAGCTCTGCTAGTCATTCAAGAATCACTTCCACACTCATGTCTAGCTCTGTGTCAGCACCACCAAAGTTTAGTCTTTGTTCATCACATGTAACTGAAAAAGGATGATTGTTTTCCAGTTTTAATTTGTCAGCGTGATGCCGTTAAGAAAATGAAATGTCAAAAGCACTTTGAATTTCCGTACAAAATTCTTCCAGGCATTTTTCACAGAAATGCAAACATACATACATATTTTGAGTTTGAATTGTGTCTTAAGTCATGCACACTGACATGAACAGCACAATTGTAAACGCACAATTTAATTAACATTTTCAAATTTGCCACTGAACTTGAAAAAAGCCCAGAATGTGCGGCCATAATATTGGGAGGTGTCTCTCCCGAACACTTACCCCAAAATCTCAACCTGTGAAAATAATACTTATATTTTTCATATTTGTTCAATGTTGTTTTTTAAAAGATATTTTTATTTTCCTTTTTTAAAGTAAATGTGTCAAAATCGGAAAACAATAATCAATTTTCAGTTACATGTGATGAACAATGACTAAACTTTGGTGGTGCTGACACAGAGCTAGACATGAGTGTGGAAGTGAATCTTGAATGATTAGCAGAGCTTGTGGCTGTCAGCATTATTATTATATATATAAAAACATTATGGTTGCATGCAACTGTCCAAAGCTGTGTTTGCAAATGTTATTTTAATCACTAGCTCTCTTTAAGTTCTGCTCAAAATTTGCTAAAATTGTCACCACTGAATGACTTGGTAACATTTTGTTAGTGTTAAGACTGTATTGGTAGTAACAAATGGAATGTTCAATCATTTGTTTTAACAAAATAAACATAATTATGGTATGATGTCACTCAAAGAAAAGGATTTCAGTCCAAGTCAGTTGAAAGTCAAAAAATTGTTCCTACCTCTTGACAGTTTTGGTAGGATGATACATGATTTTGTGAGTTTTGTGAGATGATCAGTTTGAATGTGTTATCTGTGTAACACTGTAATATACTGCACATATGTTCTGCCACTGGCTGTGTTCTGGGAATTTTGGGGCTATGCAAATAAGGTTCATGGGAAATGTGCATAGAGCCCCTAAAGAAAGAACTAATTGTGTTCTATTTATTTTATTTACTTATTTATTTTGTTGTTCCTCAGTTTGAGCATGAGTTACTGGGGTTATTTCTTGTGTGGGTGTGTGGGTTGGTGGGTTTTTCGTGTCCTGGGAGGGAGGTCACCCGTTCCCCACCCTGTGAGTTCTGTGCATATATGTTCCATTTTCCTCTCATTCTCAGTAAAGAGCAAAAGGCAGAGAAGAGAAAATGACCTGACTCTTCTGAGCATTGCTCATATAATTTAAGAGAGATAACTGACACAGCTTACTTAAACAGTCCTCATTCTCTAGTACTGTGAGACAATACCCTTACAGCTTCTAACAGGGACAAATCGGGGAGAACTAAGAGACTGTACAGTGCTCTGCTTGTTACTCATTAATTCATAATTAATATATTTAATGAATGATTCAATGTAATAATGTATTTGAAAGTTATTGTACTGCTTTTATACTGCATTATGTACACTGTGTATACTTTTTAAGGACACTTATCTCTATTTAGCAGCTATTGCATAGAATTGCACAATGGTTTAATTTGCACTCATTGCACACAGAAAATACATTCGGTTCTTATGCCTGTTTAAATGTCGCAGCTGAAAACACACACAGACTGTTATACTATATACAGTGCCCTCCACAAATATTGGTACCCCTGGTAATCATTATTTCTTTGAATCTTTCATTCAAAACATTAGCAAGAATCTGACCTTTATTTAAGGAGTAATGACTGACGGAGAAAACTAAATCTTGTCATGAAATAAATATTTTTTCTTAAATCTATGCCATCCCAAAAAACTGAAATCTAACTGAAGTATATTTCCATTTATATTTTATGTATTTAAATTAAATGGTCAGCCATGATTTCCTATTTTACTGGGGAATATATATGAGATGAAACACAGGCCGAATATCCCTCAGTCATCCATCACTATGAAAGACCACAGAATACAGCAATAATGTACAACAAAAGGTTGTTGAGCTGCACAAATCAGGAAACGGCTACAAGAAAGTATCTAAACAGCATGCCCACTAACAGGGCAATAATTAAGATGTTTAAAATAACTGGAGATGTTAAGAATCTATGGGAAGCGGGGATGCATGTCTATACTGACCCCACTCGCAGTGAAGGAGGATTGTTCAAATGAACAAAGAATCTATAAAGATCACAGATGGGGAGTTGCAGACATTAGTTAGTTGGGATCAGTATGTCTCCCAAATCACAATCAACCACCACCTATATAACCACAAGTAGTTTCAGGGAGTTGTCAGAAGGACACCTCTGCTGTCAAGGACCAACTCAAAAACTTAAGCTCCTACAATTTGACAAACCTTACTGGAACTTTCAGTGGGACCATGTTCTGTGGTCAGATGAGACCAAAATAGAGGTTTTTGGCAACAAACACCAGTTTGGTGTGGACACAAAGATAGCCATGCAGAAAAGTTCCTCATCCCCACTGTGAAGTATGGTGGTGGATCTGTGATACTGTCGGGACCAAAAGCTGCTTTCTCTGTGCCCAAGGTCCAAACATATGAGGTTTAAACTAAACTATTCTATACTATGGTTTTGTTCAGGATATAATCTAATTTCTCACACTATGACCAACAAAAATAAAATGTGTTCAGCAAAAAGAAATAGAAAGACTTCAGCCGCTGAGTTCTTGGAAGGAAGGAAAAGGCCTTCTTCTTTATTAAGCTTCAGGTGGCAAGATGGTTCCCAGACAACTACAATGCAAAAATCATCACAAAACAGCCTTTTTTATATCCTGTTTGGGGTGATGAAGTAATCACCCCTCCTTTTTACATAATTCCATATCATCTTAGTCCCCATTATGTCCTGATTCTGCACCTTTCTTGGAAACCCTTATTTCTAAACATACATGACATCAATTTTTTTTAAAACTTTCCTAGCTTGGCTGTACCAAACCGTTCCATCCTCTGAAGGCTATCAATTTAACTCTTGCTTTATTAACTGGCTCCAAAAACTGGTTTCTTCCGGTTCTTATCAGCTTAGTTTGCTCTTTGAGGGTCAGCTCGCCCTCATCTTTTACTGTGTCAGCAATGCTTACTGGCTTCTGGACGCTTCAATAGCTTCAGGGGCTCTTCAGTGTCCAAACTCCCTTACACAAGCAAATCAAGGCCTATCCTTAGTGAGAGGATTAATATTCTTTCATTAATCAACTTTATCTTGTATGATTATAACTCATTTAGTAATTTAAGGTAGTGATTTAAGGAAATATTTTATCAAAACTCCAACAATACTATGGGGCTGTTTTTCTTCCAGAGGTCCTGGACAATTTATTCAGATGCATGGTATCACAGACTCCATCAAGTACCAGCAGAAAAAAAATCAAAATCTGACTACCTCAGCCAGGAAACTGAAACTCTGTGATAGTTTGGATTTTCCAGCAGGACAACGATCCAAAGCACACCTCAAAATCAACACAAAAAATGGTTCACTGACCACAGAATTAAGGTTTTGCCATGGTCATCCCAGTTCCCTGACCAAAACTCCATAGAAAACCTGTGGGATGAGCTCAAAAAGAGAGTCTGGAGATTTTGTTTATGGAGTCTTTGTCATGTGTTCTCCAGTCTCATTAAGTATAGGAGAAGACTCAGAGCTGTTATCTTTGCAAAGGGAGGCTGCACAAAGTATTAAATAAAGGGATGAATAAAGGGATGAAAATGTTTATTCCTAGTTTTTTTAATCACTGTACCTCAAATAAAGGTTAGACTTTTGTTAAGATTGTTTTTACAGCCTGTTTTACTCGTGTTTACCAGGAGTACCAATAATTTTGGAGGGCACTGTAACATGTATTCTATATTTCTTTAATTTATATATTTTTCCTATTCTTCTAGTTTTGTTCTCTCTTTACTTTGTACTTAGTGTTCATACTGTGTTTGTTCAATAGTCCAGGAGGTAGTGCAGAGTAAGAATTTCATTGTATAGTGCAACTGTGTGTTTCTGTGCATGATAATAAACTCTTGATTCTTGAATCTTATGAATTCATGTACATGTAGATCCTGAAAACTTTATATATGACAGAAATGTCATACTTTCAGGTGAAGTGAATACACTGAATTGGTGAATATTACTGTCTGAATATTATAATCTTTCTAGTTTCTGCAAAGAACACCGCAGGAACCAGATGCTACAAACTGACTGCAGTGTGTCTGGGGCTGCTGTGTGTTCTGCTGCTGGCTGCCATCCCAGTGCTGTGGGTCAAGTTCAAAGAACTGACTACAGAGAGAGACCAGTTACAGACCAGCTACACCAGCCTGACTATAGAGAGAGACCAGTTACAGACCAGCTACACCCGCCTGACTATAGAGAGAGACCAGTTACAGACAAATAATGACAACATGAAGAATGAGAGGGCCAATTACAGAAAGAAAAGGAAACGCTCCAGAAGAAACTGTCAGAATTAGGTGAGTAAATAAAGCTCAAGTTAGTATCATAGGAAACTACTCTGGAATTACTCTGTTAAGCACAGACAGCATGGTTTACATAATATAATATTGGGTAAGTCACCATCTTTTTGAAAACTATTTTATTTCTTATTTCAAAATTTCTACAAATAAATGCATTTGTGGCCGTTTCTTCTCTTTTTAAAGAGACACACAAAAGTGACTTGTGTGCTAACAGCACCCCCTGCTGGAGAAACTGTAGACCATGTGCTTTACATATTTTGAAAAATGATTTAAATTAGTCCTTTTCAGCTCTCTTTCCCAACACAGCAGTTATCGCCTTTGAAGGATCATCTTCAGCCTACTTCTCAGTCATCAAAGACATCTGATTAAATCACCTACTTTACTGCTTTTAGTTACACCCAGAACCCATAACAGATCAATTCCTTTAAAGAGCTGAAAAATGAGCAATTTGTAAAAAGCACTGGTCAGCAACTTTTTCTGTTTTTCTGAAAATGTCATCAAGTAAGCTAAGACTACCAAACTCTGTCATATCAGAGATGCTTGTTGACTCTGAAGTCACATTTATTTACAGACGCTTTAGTCGTCCCTCAAAGCCAAAGCAACAACTAATGGACTCCCTGAATATTTCTTACCGTTTTTGCTGCTGAAGAGATGTAAAAGAATTAAGGTGAAAATGTGTGTTTGGCTTTAAAATGTACACATTTCTTAAAAGCCAGATATTTGAAAATGTGCCACATCAGCACTGGTGAACAAGTCAAGATGTGATTGCTGTGATAGCAGCACCCTGTCCTTTTAGTAATTAGTAATATCATTACTTAAAGCATTATTTCTTAATCCAACCAATTTGAAATCTGAATGCTGCTTTGTGAAGCTGACAACCTAAGCTACATTTTGATAGAATTGTTTGAGAGGTTTGTGTGGGAATTTATTTCACATTTTAATGAAATGTCACTGCAAAAAACACCTCACCACCTCAAAATGGGTGGGAAGGGAACACTGTATATGTAATTTAACTGGTCAGAGAAGAGACCTGATTGATGATTTGAGGAAGGACAGTTTTAAATCTTATTACCATGACTAGATCATATTTATACTTGGATTATCTGTTATACATGACATTTTCAGTGCTTACTTTCAACGCAATGAAAGTTGCCTCAATGCCTATATTAGCCTGTTGAACATTACATTCCAAAACCATCAGAGGTGGGAACAAGTCTCTAAGTTGCAGGTAACAAGTAAGTCTCAAATCTTGACACTCAAGTCTCGAGTCAAGTCCAAAGTCAAGATAGTCGAGCCTCAATTCAAGTCCCGAGTCAGTACAGGCGAGTCTTAATTCGAGTCATAAGTCCTAATCTTCAAGTCCTAAACAAGTCACTACGCATTCTTCGCTAATTTAAGGCCACAACACTGAATAATGGTAACAGTACTGCAGCCTTTTAATGACAGCATGTTAGCAGTGTATGGCTGTACATCATTATTTCATTTTATTTTTTTACCCTTCCAACTAAAATACAAAATCCATGGTACACAGATAACCATGACAGGCATACTGGTATACACAGAGAGTAACTACACATGAAAAGAATTTGAAAAGTACTACTGAACTAGCTCAGCACTAAAACTAGTTCAGCCACCTAAAAACAACTGCTTGTTTGAATTCAATTTCAATTACAACAGAAACCAAAATGACTGAGCTGAATAAAGTTTACAGAAAAGACAGCAAAATGATGGTGAATAAACAAAGCTGAAGTTGACTTTTTTGCCAGCAGCTCCTTATTTGAATTTTCCATTCCACCTTAAATGGTGCAGCAGTTACATTCCAGCACCTCACTGCTGCACCATTTAAGGTGGAACAATAAATTCCAATACAAAGCTGGCGAATAACAAGTTAACTTCAGCCTCATGGTGAATTTTGCACTTGTTTTCAACCTCATACATCTATTATTATCTTTATTATTTTGAGATGAACAGTGGGCAGAGCAAGACAACAATCTTTTAAGCCTTTTTACAAAAGACTATTTTGGTAAATAACTGATTGTCTTTTTACTATTGATAATGAATTAGGAACTTAATTTGCTACCTTTCTCTCTACTGATGTGTTTGCTATTTTTATATTAGCTTAACTTTTACACTATAGCTGGTAATGCAGGTGACGGCATACAGGCAATTACAGAATGTAAGAGGGCAAAAACCAGTCATGCTATATGTTGTTCCTTATTGTACCACATATTGTGTAGTCAGTGTAATCACACTTTGAGTAACTGCACATTGAGACCACTGAGACAAGCTTTATTACACTATGTATGAGTGGATATTTATAACTTATTTGAACTGACTTTTCAAAATCAGTGCATGATTCAGTCATTGAGATGTAAACCAAGCCATTCGGAGTGGTTTAATGTGAAATGGTTCATTGCAGAAATACCAACTTGGATTTCTTTTCAGTAGTGGTGATAGGAACCAGGTCCCACTATCTATACTTTTAAAAAAGATGGTTCTTCAAGGGATCTTTAGTATCTTTAGTATCTTTTTATTTAGAACCATGCGTTCTGTATCCAACCATTTTATGCTTAAATGGGTCTTTACGCCCTGAAAACATTCTTCAGATTGATGGAGATTGTGTTCTATATTGTCTTATATAGAGCTTTTTTAAAAGATTGCTCAACATAGCACCAAAAATTGGTTCTTCTATTGTTACAAGCTTTACATCATAACAATTGAAGAACGCTTTTTGATGCTATATAGAACTATTTTCAAAAAGGTTCTAAATAGAACCACATACAAAACATTCTGCATCAATCTGAAGCACAATTTAACCATGCAAAGAACCATTTAAGCATGAAATTCTAAATAGAACGATCCATTTACTAAAGAATCCTTGAAGAACGATCTCTTTTAAAAATGTACAACAAAAATATTGTCATTTTTTTCTATCCAAAATGTCAGAGTTTTATATTTAATACTGATAATAGTAAAACATTAGTAAACCTGAAATAGAACATTTTTCTTTTGGTGCTTTTTTTGCCTTACATGGCCCTACATGGCCCTCTCTGCCATGAATATACTATAAAAAATGTCTTAGATCAAAATCTAATCTCAAATCTATTGTAAAATTGTGTCTCAGACATCAAGCTGCATATTTGTAACAATTTAATGTAACAGCTTTCTATGATGTAGCTTTAAAAAGCAGTTAACACTTCCTATCAACACCACTGTGAACAATTCTGACTCAGTAAGTTAAATAAAGACAGAGCATTAACATCTTAATGACTGAATCATACAGAAGATCTGAAGAATCACTGGAGTTTCCCTTTAAATTAACTGACCTATGAATGCATGACTTTCTCTATGAAAAGAGCAAGAAAAGAAAACTTCCAGATACAGTTTCTACTACACCTCTACTGAGAAGAAGAGCTGGAGTGAGAGCAGACGGTACTGCACAGAGAGAGGAGCAGACCTGATGATCATAAACAGCAGAGAAGAACAGGTGAGAGAGAGAGAGAGAGAGAGAGAGAGAGAGATAGATAGATAGCGCACAACTATTCTTTAGCTGTTATCTAATCACATTATTCCATACTGTACCATGTCAGGAGTTCATCAGTACAGTATTTGGCAGCACTGAAGCTTGGATTGGTCTGACGGACATTGACACAGAGGGGGTCTGGAAATGGGTGGACAATTCAGCACTGACCACTGAGTAAGAGACCATTGAGCTGAGCTCTGCTTATGATGCAGTTATTCACTCTGTCTAACAAACTCTAGAGGTGTAATAGTGAAGATAATCTGATTCTCTCTGTTTCAGGTTCTGGTGGACGGGGGAACCCAATGATTATAATAGAAATGAGGACTGTGCTGTAACTGGATATAGAGGTGCTGGATCTGAACGTGTATCAACCTGGGCTGATTATCCCTGTGATTATCCTGCAGTTGGAATCTGTGAGAAAAGATTTTAATGTAGTCTACATGAGAGTGAACAGCAACTGATTTGTCTATACCTTTAACATTATACATTATATATTTTACACTGTAGACTTACTCATACAGCATTTATCTGATCAATATTTTTGAAAGAATATGGATTCAAGTACAGCAAAGATAATAGTAAATGTTTTAATTCTACCTGAACCCTTGTACTCAAGAAATCGAGCCTTCGCCAAGTCCTGAGCCATCAGTCACTGCCTGACAAGGTTTTGAGCTGGTATTCCGTCTTTAACTTATAGGCCTTCTTAGGATTAACTGATGTAATCAAAATATTTCATAAAATAACACATTAAACAGTATAATACTGAATAATTCAACAGTTTTTGAAAACTTTCACCTCATTTTGTGACTCAAACGTGCCTCTGGGAACAACTTCTAGTGTGACTATTCTTGATGATTCTTACTCAAAACTTTTATACTTGTTTACTGTTTACCCTCAGAGTGTTGTCTTTCTCCTCTCCTTTATATTATGTAGACCGATGAGTGTTATTCATTATAAGGTTGGTGGACGATACAGTGATTGTTAATCATTTATGCTAATGGAGCTGTAGTTCAGGACGTTGTGTCATGTTGTAATTAGTCATTTCTTCATCTGAATGTTATGAAAACAGAGGATATGGTTGTTAATTTTAGGAAGTCTTTACAGCCCCATATCTACAATCATGATTCTCATGTTAGCAGTGTTTATCTACTACTGTCGTACTGAAGAGCTCAGAGACTTTAAACCTGCCACTGTCATAAGACGCCACTTTTGCCACAAGACAGTTCATTAAGATTCTGCCCTGCTAGAACTGCACTGGTTAACTTTAAGTGCTATTATTATCATATGGAAGCTCCATATTAATGGCTTTGGAAATCAGATGTCCACCAACCTTATATAAGCTCTTTCACAGAGTGGTGAACCCATCCCCATCTTTACTTCTGAAAGACTCTGCCTCTCTGGGATGCTCTGTTTATACACAATCAGGTTACTGACCTGTGGCCAATGAACATAATAGCAGTGAGATGTTCCACCAGGTCTATTTTTTAGCAACTTTTCCAGTCTTTTGTTGCCTCGTTTCAACTTTATTAAAATGTGCTGCTAGCATTAAATTTAAAATAAGCACATATAAAAAAAAACAATAAAGGTGTATTAGTTTCAACTTTTGATATGTTGTTTTTGTCCTATTTTCAATTAAATATAGGGTTTAAATGATTTGCACATCATTGCATTCTGTTTTACATTTTGCACAGTATTACATTTACAGCACTAAGATACTGAATTAAAACTCAGTGTAACTGCCTACAAATTGAGGGTGCTTTATTGCTTTTAATGTAAATTAGGCATAATGTACTGAATTTACAAAAACAGGATTCCTTCTTTATTGCCTTGTACTGGCTCCCTAAAGCAGCTTGTATTTTACAAAAGCATCATTTTCAAGGCAGACTGACTTCCTTACTGCCCTCTAGTGCCACCCCAGTGAAACTCAACCCTTTAATATGTTGGACTCAAATTGTTGCTATTGAGCAATCTCAAAGAAACAGTGGGTAAAAAGTCCCAAAACAACTTTAGAGGAAATAGATAAGGTACAAAACCATCTCAATGGCTCAACAATGGATACACAATATGTGTACAATATAGTGCTAAAGGAACACAACACTTAAACTGCCTTTATAGCATGCAGTATTAAGTACAGTGTTTTCACAGATTTGACAGATGTTCACTTTTTTACATTCTCCTGAGGTGAGTAGTTACAACCAGTTAAACATACTTAGTTACCTGTACAAAGAACATGGATATGATAGATTTATATTTTTGAAGTATTTTCAAATACTACTTTTATGTATGCTCAAGTATACGTCTGAGGAAAGAAGTCTATTTTTACTCAGTCTTATTTACTCATTTATACTTTAAGCTCTTTGCCAAATGTATACTGCTTCATGCCGTATGTATTAGTGCTGTTATGTCCCATGGAGTTCTATAGAGGAGGTTTCTGATTACTTCTTTAAAATCCTAGTCTTTTTTCATTTCTGCTTACTCTTACTCTTACGCTTACTCTTATTTACAGCTCTACTTCTACACTTCTACTGAGTCATTATTTCATGGTGTTAATTGAATATGGCTACTCTACCCACCTCTGTCCTCTATTGATTAGAGATGATCTGAAGAACTGCTTAGTGAAGCTGAAGAGAGAAGAACTAGAGGGCACTGTGGTGGTTGTCTATGAGTGCATTGATACTATAAGAGGCAATGACTCCAACACAGAGAATGAGTACGCCAGCACAAGAAAGAAGAACCATGTATTATTAGTGTACTGTAGTGATCTCTATGTACTCTAAAAGTGTCATTCTAAATATCCATCTATTTGGTCTTCCTAGAGAAACCACAAAAATAGTTGAGCCTAAAAGCAGTACACCACACAAACTAACAGAGTGGGGCCACCAAATGCTGAAGTGCACTCCGTGTAAAAATCATATTTTTTGCATCACTCACTACAAGTTCCAAACTGTCTCTACAAGCAAAAATCAGCACAAATACTGGGCGCCAGGAGTTTCATGTGACGGTTTCCATGGGAGAGCAACTGTACACAAGACTAAGATCACTATGTGCAATGCCAAGCGTCATGAATCTGTCTTACTTTGTATCAGTTATTGTTTCAGGAGAAATCACTGAATATTTTGCTTTCCTTTTGTTCTACAAATTGAAAATTGCAAAGGTCCTTACATTTTTTTTTATACCAAAATACAAGACAAATCAGTGATTAACTGATATTTGGGTTTAAAGACTTCTTATTCACACTAATTAGGCAATTTCTACTTCTAGAACCTAGAGCACTAGTTCATACACCCACCTTATTACGCAGATTCGTTGGTCAAGCCTAGAAGGAGGATTACACTAAAACTTAGCATGTTTGACCAGCAGGGGGCAGCGGGTTTTTTTTTCTCTTATCCTTCAGGGACCTGTGGAAAAAAATAATCTACCAACTTCGAGCTCAAGACACGGCAATCATTAGCTTATTAGGTCTGACAATAGAACACCATGTATAATAGTGGCATGATATGTGATTTTAGAAATTTTGCTCTTTGGTGACTGGCACTGTATATTTGAATAGATCATCATGTACAGACAAAGCCTGCGATTATACGTGAAACACAGCCTGAAACACAAACAGCTCTGTCTACAGACAGTTTCAAATACAGCTCTCATTCAAAATCACACACTGCGCACCGAGTACAGAGCAAACTGGCTGAGAAACTGGGAAGCGCTGCTAACACTGCACTGAAGCTAAAAGCCAGACAGTGATGTACACAGTAGGACACTACAGTCTCTCAACAGCCTGCGTTCACTGTATTAATGTTTATACCTCACTATTCTCCACTGAAAAAGGACCATTAGAAACTAAACCAGGAGATAAAGAAGCTGAAGCAGACTGACAGGGCTGAAGGAGCAGCTCTGATCAGGTACTAATCAATAGTCTTTGTATTTGAATAGCATATTTAGAAGCTGCAGCTCATCTAAGAGAGAGACAAACATTTCTTAACTTCAGTATTGTTAGATCTTGATCTATGCCTGCTGAAAGAGGATGGATAACTTTTAAATAATAATAGATGTGTAACTAGATGAATTTTCTGTGTGTCAACTTCACCAAATAGTCTTTTTTATATTTTATGCTTATTGCCAAGCTAAGAGTTACAATGAACAGACATTTTGTGGCCATTTAAAAAAAACAGTTTGTGCATCTCATAGCAGGTTTATTCTACCATTAGGGGGTTCTGCAAACGCATGGTTAGGAGTAGTTCTAGGTATACAAATATTTTCACACACAAGAATAAAACCTTCTAATGTGCTTATGCATGATTGATGAATGCTTTCTTAGGTTTCTCTTGCATCGTGCTGATGGAAGGATCAGAATTTGGTGCAAGCAACATCTGGTTTGGTCAACAATACATGTTGAAGGTGCAGGATTATGGTGTGGGGAATGGTTTTCCTGGCACACATTAGGACGTATGTAATTGCTAACTAACTTCATCCCTTTATAGCTACAGTTTATCTACACTTGGATGGACACTTCCAGCCTTATAATGGACCATGCTACAAAGCACCAATTCTCACTGCATGTAAACATATTTACATATGCTTCAGATTGCTTACATATGCAGACAGATTGCTTCAATGGCTTGTACAGTCCCCAGGGACCCACTGCACCAACAGGTCTTAACCCCTACATTGGTTGTAGCTAAGACCAGTTTTCAGAGAGGTCTTTACAGCCAACCAAACTAACCAAAGTTATGGCCCAGGGGCAGGTCAGTCTTAGCCGTGTCCTTTCATATGAAAACACATGTAACAATAATGGCTGCTAAGCAACCTGGGTTACTAAGCGTACCTACTACCGGCAACTGACCAATTCATAGGATTCTAATGACGTCACGCCATCATGCTACCACTATTTCGGTAGACTTCCAAGTTGTGATAGAACTTCACCGTTCCTTCAGCAGCAGAATGTAGGTTTGATATGAGATAAAGTCATAACCAATCCTTTTTTGGGAATATTTACTTTAAAACTTTTTTTTTTTTAATTAACCAATAAATTTGAGTGTATCATCTCGTATTAATTTGTGTTGAGGTGATTTGCTGTATGACTGCTAAAATCTAAATGGATGAGATTTCCCAATGCATTACTTCTGCAGTCTCCCAAACGTTAGCACTAGCACACTAAATACTACGCAAAAAACAGTGCAGCACCATCAGAAGTGCACTCATTAGTGTAGTAGATAAAGGACAGAAGTGTGTGGTTTGGGACGCAGCATTAGATCAGCTAATGAGACGTGTTCTACAGTCCAGCAGCTCCAGTGGATGATTTTAGCTCTGCTGTGCTGCTCCTTAGCTGCTCATTAAAAATCCCCAAGTTAAAGTTTAACATATTTACTGATTAAGGATTCATTTATTGAGGTAAACTGGACACATTTTTCTGTGACATGATGTTGGCTTTTTATTCGCCAGCTTCTTTTCAGAAATTTGCTTTATGTATGAGGCACCTAAATGTAACTGCTGCACCATTTAAAGTGGACAGGAAAGTTCAAACAAGAAGCTGCTGCATAAGAAGCCTACTCCAGCTAAGTGTTTATTGATTAAGAGCTTTGGCAGTGTTTGTAAACATTTTTATTAGTTTTTATAAAGTCTCATGAAATGGAAAGTTCTGAACTCTGGAAATATGTAGGTTACACGGATTCAGTCCAACAGTCAAGCTGATGATCTTATTGTAAGGTTTTCTAGAGGTTGTATCTAGATGTCGACATATCTTTTTTATGGTCATTCCGGTCCACTTTGCTTGGTCTTCATCCACCTGTAGGGCTGTAGCTGCAGCCACAGTGACGGGATAAGCGATATCAGAGCACATTCAGTTACAGCTTGGCTTCCAAAATGGCGGCGGGGCCTTCTTAATGATGTAAATGAATTGTAGCTTGCATGTTGACCCCCTCACTCTCAACTCAACCCTGAGCTACTAACCAGCTACTGTTGATACACCAGAGGTGGTAAGTAACAAAGTAGAAGTACTTTGTTACTGTATTTAAGTAACTGTTTCAGGTATCTGTACTTTGAGTATTTCTGTCACTTAATATCTTTTACTCACTACATTTCAAAAGAAAAATCTGTACATTTTACTCACTACACTTCAGAACAGGCTTGTTACTTTAGTTTTATTGATCTATTTATCTATTTTATCTCTCTATCTACTTATATATGTTTTTTTTTCAATCAGGCAATTGTATTAGGGCACCTAATGAAACGCAAATCGACTCCCTACAAGGTGTGAGCAGAGTGAACCCATGATTGACTACTCTCAAGGCCTA